TTTTTTTTCTTGGTTTTTGGTCAGTTATAGCTGTTATATAATCTTGTGTTCCCTTTTTGCCTTCCAGATTGTTATCCCTTTCTTCAGTCTCTTGATTAAAGACATTTACTTCCTCAATGAAGGATGTGCCAACAGGCTCCTGAACGGACATGTCAATTTTGAGGTAATTCTTGGCTTGGCAGTACATACAAGCTAACATGATGCATAGAAACAACTGCCGTCACAGCTACTGAATAACAATGGATGGCTGAGAAAGCACCGTCACATAGCAACAGAAGCATCCAGATTTAGTTCATTGACGTATACATCTGTTGAAATGAAGTTTCAAGGGCATCAATTCAGCATGACAGTAGTTAGAAATGAAACACAGGCGATGATTTCTAACAGAATGAATCTTGACTGTGCTACAGAAATTCTGGGAGCTGGCCAAACAAGTGATGGAGTTCATGACATGGAAGAAGGTGGAGTGTCCTTTTGATAGAGACCGCAAGATTCTGCAGTATCTCCTGACCGCACCAGTCTTCAGTGAAGATGGTACAGATGTTTTTTTAATGCTAGCTTACGATTAATTGAGGGCAGACAATGGTTTTGCTGATTAAACATCATTTCTGCATTCTGTCTTACTTGTTTACTGTCAACTTGTGTCATCAACCTGTTCTAATGACACAAGATACCAGCCACAAAGACAATTGCGTTTGTCATGACTGCCTCAGGCGTAAAATGCCGTCATGCTAAATGACCAAGTGACACAAATTCAGATCATTCCTCAAGAACGAAAACGGGTGGCTTTGTTTTCTGTTGCTGACACACTCGTCTCATCTCCATGATCTCTCAACAGCTTTGTATCTGGCATCATATGAGAGTGAAGGACCAGAGAACAACATGGAGAAAGACAGATGGAAATCTCTCAGGTGTGTATGATATGATTCTTCAGGGCTGTTGATTGACAGCTATCTTCTGCGTTCAGATGCTGAGATTGTTCTTGACCTGTCTGAAGAGCAACTTTTGCCCGTTTGCCAAACGAATAGCTAATGAAAAGATTTAATTAACAAGGGTTCCCACTGTCAGAGAAATATCAGGGGATTTCAATTGTGTTGTCCAGGCCAAGAAAAATAATCGTTCATAAAATCTTAAAAAGCCATTCTATAATGAATGTGCCTTCTAGTAATGCTAAGAGTACAATATGCTCACAAGCCATAGTAATATATGATCTATAAGCAACTTATTTGTATAATTCTTCTTAAATAAAAATTCTTATTCACTAATAACAAACTTTCATGCTAATTCAGTAGTCAAAAACTGTACAAACATTGAATTAAGCACGTTATTTGTATTACATTTTATATATATATTTTTTACACATAGTTTGCCTTTGTCTCACTAGGAACACTACATGCAATCCAAATTATTGAAATGGTCTTATGAGAATTATATTGTGTAGCCTTCATGTTTTACAGTATTTATTACACTTTTTATAAATGAGTACATTGTCTGTTTTTGATCTCACATTTGTTTCAATCAATTGTTTAAAATACAAACAACCGACAAAACATCTTCCATTCATGCTTGCCAAAGATCACGCAGTGATAGATACACACACATATGTGCTTGGAAAGGGTGAGACCTCTTGGCTCTTGCTTAGTCATGTTTTCTGATGGCTTTACAGCTCAAGAGGGAGAGATAGAGAGAGAGAGGGATTGCAGAGGCAAACGGTGGACTGCGGTTTTGTTTAGTTTTTTTGCTCCACTGTGACAGGATCTGTCAGAGCACCAGATTTTGTCTGTATCAGCAGTTCGTGCTCCAGCCCTCTCAGAGCTTGTATGACTCTCAGTGTCTCCACATGAAGATAGTAGCCCTCCAGGAAACAGGGCAGAGCTTCCAGAAAAAGACAAGCCAGCTGAAGGATAATATCCGTTATTGCTAGTCTGAAACCAGTTTATACTTGATTTATCAGGTCTAGGGCACTGGACTTGGATCATCACACAGGGCAGACACTATACAACGTGTCCAGAATTATTATTATTTTTTCGACCTCATAATGCGATTTTAAGTACAGAACATCAAATGCTCTGTATATTTGCTCCTCCATTTATGAGGTAGATCATTTTGAATCATTTTATTTGACCGTTCTAGTTATTAAACGATTCTTTTGCTTCATTTCTGCAGGTCATCTTTGCTGAACAGGACATAATCCCGTGAGGAACTCAAAACCAAGTGAACCCTGACAAGCAGGCTGTGTCCCCCTTTTGCCCCCTCCAAAAGTGAGAAGTATCCCTGTTTTTCAAGGGAGATGACAATCCATATTTTGATGAACGGTGCATTTTTATGTTGGAAAGAGCAGCATCTTTTTACAA